TGCATTATGTAAAGGTAGAATTCCCAATGAGAAATGTAATTGTGTTGTATACCTACAATGTACCAATAAAAGAATTTAATAAAAAAAAAAGAAAAAGCAGTTTCCTCTTTATTTTTCTTAGCTTGTATGCTTATTTCCTCCTTCTCTTTTCCTCCCTTATAAAAAGTGGACATTATCATATAAATCTGTTTGGGAAGAAATAATGAAAATGAAATTACTTAGATGTAGAAAGTCAAAGTGGATTCTCTGAAGTAGGCATTATATGATCACTAAAATATGTCTTTAAACCTTTCAATCTTTTATTTACCATCGATTCTTTATTTCACAGATCCTTAGATGGTCTACGAGTTTGTGTTTACTCAAAGTAAACTGCTGATTATTTACCTAAAATATCGATTCAGTAAAGCCACAAAAGTTATTCTTATTGATTTAAAAAAGGTGCCCTGGTATGACTAAGAAGTAATGACTGCCGACTTCTAAACCTCCTTGTACCCTCACCCCAACTGTGAGTGCTTTAGTAAAGGCCTAGTATAGCATCTTCCAAGTTGCCTTAAATTCTGCTATTTGTGAATGACAAAGCTATTATTGATCTTCCCTTCTATAATTTCTTCTTAACAAATAATATTCACTTGGCCCATGCCCATCACTTCCAGGAAATAGGCCCCAACCAACCCCTCCTAGCCTGGTTGGCTTACTCATTTATTATTTCCACTACATTAGTACCTTGGCTCATGAATGCTTCTGTTTGTAAACAATTAGGTTCTCAAAAGAGTTCAAAAAAATTTTGCTTTCATTAACAAACTCCACATCAGATAACAAACATAATTGTGGCCATCTTCCTCATGCAAATATAAACATGGTCATCTTCCTCCAAATCATAAAACAAATTAAGTTCATGAACCTAGGTACTACTCTATATTATCATGGACACCATTTGCCCATTAATTGTATAGATCAGGCACAACATTAGTTCATTTAATCTCCATGATATCCATTCACTCATCAAATATTAATTCTATACTAGCCACATACTATGTTTCAAGAATAGATCATGCTCCAAGGTTATCAGGGTTATTAACTTCATAGAATTTACAGGAGGGAGGGATATTGACCAAATAATTTCAGAAATATGTAAAAACAAGTGAAGATAAGTATTTAAATGAAGTATTTAAGTGAAGGGAATAAAGTGCTATAAAAGTATGTTACAAAGGCATGTAACCTAGACCGAGTATAACAGGAGAGGATGTACCAAGGAAGTGAAGGCTGTGCTGAGAACTGGTGGATGAATAACAGCTCAGAACAGTGTGTGTGTGTGTGTGTGTGTGTGTGTGTGTGTGTGTGTTTGATGGTGGTGGCAGCTAGATATAAAGATGCTGGGGAGGAGCTGATGGAGTGGTCAGACTGCAGGAAGAAGAATCTCTTGGCAAGTCATAGTGCAGTCCTTTTTGAGAAGAAAAAAAAAGTCTGACATGAATGAAACAGAGAGGGCATTAGAAAAGAGTTTGCAGGTACTGAAGTCCCAGAAATATTCTAGTGTTTATCCAAGGGCAATAGGAGGACATCAAAAGGTTTTGAACAAGTATGTGTGTTGTGAGTAGGCCTATGGCAGGCATAATGATTATCTCCTTTAACAAGTAAGGAAGCAGAGGCTCAGGTGACAAGTGTAACTTTTCCAGGATTCATGCAGGTCACATAACCAAGTGAGTGGCTTGGCTAGGACTTAAATGCAGGTCAAGTGATACACTTTCATTCACTTTAATATTCAGTGAATTCATGCTGCTAGTCTCTTTCTCCCAATTCTGAAAAGAAAGCACTTACTTTGGGAATATTAAATAGAATTTATTGGAACAAATATTATTAAGTTCTTACAATGTACCAGATTCTGTTATCTTATTTAATCACACACATCCTGCAAGTGCAGGCCTGATTTTTCTTATGTTCAATATGAGAAAACTGAGGTTCAGAAAGTTAGGTAATATGCTTTATTGTTAGAAAGGGGAAGAGCAGGGCTATGAATACGTTCTGTCTGACTATAAATTTTAGATGAAGCCCAGAACACAGTACCATAACTTTAGGGCCACCTGTAATGGATGAGAGGTGAAAGCAACACAGGAAACACAGAGACCCGGTCAGGTCTACAGCAATGAGAGACGAAGGTAAAGTGTGGATACAGTAGATTTTAGGTGAAATGAGAAAGAAGGAAATGAGCTCCAAACACATTTGGGACATGAGGTACAGGGGAGTCTCCTTGCTTGGCTTGACACCTGGGCAGATAGTGATGTCATTTATCCTTAAGAGGGAGGCTGGCGCTGCTCTGCTCCATCCATTGTTGGGGTAGAGGCAGGTAAGTGAACTCAGAGGTCCCTGGAGAGATATAGACCATTGGTCTTTGGGAGAAAGAGCTTTCTTTATTATTGGGAAAATTTATAACAAATACTTGCTGCAGTGATGACCCGTGTGTTCTGACTTAAGATGACTGGCTTAGCCACAGCATCTTCCTTTCCCCTCAAGTTCCTACTCCTAACATTTTCTGTGTTCTCATCTCCTTTGTTCTCTTTCTGAGGATGATACTCAGTGTGTTCCCCTGAGTCAGAATGCAGTTAGATAAGAATAGTATTTTATTAAAAGGATTTTTCCCTGATGGTTTGAGGAGAAAAAGAATTCACAAAGCCCCAGTTCATTCAAAGAATTATACCAAATCCCCAAAGCATTGCCTTTCACATTTCTATATCAAGTTCCTGGTTTTTAAAATGGGAACATACAATCTCTTGGCAAAAAAAAAAAAATACAAGTGTGATTTATCGTTCCAATCTTGCAGTCTATGTAATGCAGACATTTTACTCCTGGGAATAAATAGTCCTGTTTGCCTCAAAGCAAACTACAAATGTTCAAGTTGTGACCAGACAACATGACTTTTATGGCCTGCAACTAACTGAAATAACCACATAAAGTTATAACCGTTAGGAAGCTAGACATTCTTCAGTATCGCCAATAACATTCTGCATTTATTTGGAATTGTTTTTTGAATCTAATGGCTTCAGAATAATATTCTAATATAAAACAGTGGGACTTGTACAACAGGAAGCTGCTAAATCTTAAATTTTAGACTCTCACATGACATTCTCAAGGAGGACCCAATATACTGTACTTATTGCAAAGTAAATACATGTCACCCTTGTCTGCATCTGCAGAGAGTTAACTGTGGGCATCAGCTGAAGGCAAGCATTATCCCAGCAATGAAGCCTCCTTGACAGGCTCTGCTCTGACTCACAGGGTTTGTCAGATCTCTCATATAATAGGGTCCCCTTGATAAATGCCATCTCCTCCTGCACTGATGATGCCAGAACTGTTCAGGTAATATTTACAACTCCAGCCATTGAGTTCAGCATGACAATTTTACTCAACAATGGAGAAAACTCAGATGTATAAAAGCTTAATGGTCTGAAAAAAACTAAGTAGCCAAGATTCAGACTCTGAACTCTGCTTTGGAAATGTCCAGAATCACTTGGAAGCTGACTTCAAACTAGTACTGAAACAAAGTCGACCTTGGGATGTGAGTCAGGGAAGCTGCCAGACTCAGGCAGGACAAATAAATCTGCTGTTGTGTCTCTCTGCTTGTTGCACCCACCACAAGGGTGACCAAGCTGGAGAGGGTGACTCTAATGGCAAAAGGGACCCAGAGAACAGGGTCTAACTGGAACCCTTCAGTGCCTCCTTCCCTCCCTCCCTCCCTCCCTTCTTTCCTTCCTCCCTTCCCGCTTCTCCTCTCTCTCTTTCTTTCTAGGGGCTTTGGGAAAATGGGAGAGGAGAAGGTTGAATTCATTAAGGCAAGGACCAGGTGAGGGAAATGATATAAAGTTGGAACCATGGAAAAGCTCAGTTATTTGGGGTTGGAATTGGAAGGGAGTAACTAGTGACTGATTGTTAACTTGGCTGCATGGCACTCAGACAAGTGGAATTTACCCCAGTGAAGGCTATTTCCTTAGTGCTCTGGCAATTAAGTAGTTTTCAGCCCTAACTTATCTCTCCATTCTTTTTAGAAGAGAGCAGAATGCATTTCTAAAGGCTCATTTGTCTGGAAAAGCAAGTTGATCTATCCTGTTCTAGGATGAGAAAATATAGTCACCTTCTGAGGTGAGTCATGATTTGGGGTTGTGAATGACAGAAAGGAGTAAGGCATTTCCCTTAAAGTGTGCCAGCAAACACCAAATTATAAAAATCAAAATAACTACTGGTTACTGAGTGTTTAGGATGACTAGGCACTATGCTGTGCACTTTTTTCATTTGGGCCTCACAAAACCCTCAATGAAGGAGATCTTATTAACCTTTTGTACATAAAGATATCAGAGTAATGCAATGTTTAAAAATTGCTTAAGGTCCCACAACAAGTTGGATGTAAACCCTGGACTGACTCCAGCCTAATTACCTCTGAAGCATTAGTAACCTCCACTATGGTCAACAGAAAGGTTCAGATTTGGTAGAGGTTGAAAAACTCATCCTCCCAAGTGTTTCAGTTACCATGGTTCTTAGTTGACTCTGATGGTCAATGTTAATTCAGGGATTAAATATATTTTAACAATTCTCTATTTGACTCCACTGTATGTCAAGTGCATTTAATGTTTAATCTTCATGAAAACCCTCAAGAGCAGTTCTTCTGACCATGTACTGAAGCAGTGCTTCCCACAGTGTGGTCTCCGGACCAGCAGCATCAGCACTGCCTGCATAACAGTAAGAAATGCAAATTCTTGATCTGCGCAGTAGACCCCCGATCAGAAACTCAGGAGGCCACTCTGAGATCTAGGTGTTAACAATCCTGAAGGTCATGAGATGCATGCTAACATTTAAGAATCACTGTTCTAAAGTACAAATAGATATTTTTTCACATGGAAAAACATTAACTCTAAGATTTTCTTTCATCTTTTATTTTCTTTAAAAATATATTTACCTCATTTCCAAGTCTTCATTCTCCTGTGGCACAAATTTGTACAAGGCAACATAGGTGTTCATCTGTAATGGGTCTTTGGAAAGAGGTTCCTGAAAGAGAAAAATCAAAGACAAATGAGAGAGATAGGAAGAAGAAATCAAAAGAGAAAATAAAAAAATAGGAAATGGAGAAGTTAATGTAGTGTAATTTCAGTGTATGGATCTTAGGTGTTAAAAACTATTATTAATTATTTCCTCTCAACTTTGGGTTTATTTTTAATTTAACTGAGTTAGGTTTCATTATAAATCACTTGAAAACAATTATTTGGAATTCATTGTGAGAAGTGCTGAAATCCTCTTCACATAATTTTTTTCTTTGAAATAGAGCTGTTCATGAAAAATGTCACTAGTTGAGGTCCTGGAATGGGAATATTATTCATAAAGAAAGAAAGATAGGTAAATATTAATAAATAACTCTCACTTCCCCAAACTGATGTTTATCAGCTGAAAGTTGGGATCTTGCATATCAAAGGGCATCAGGTTTATCCATCTGGTAAATACTCATTAATGCTAGAGAAAAAGGACAGTTTTTGGCCTCAGACTGATATAACTTATACCATGGTACCACTACCTATTGATTATGAAATTTTCCAGTAACGGTAATAAAAGCTATCAATTTTGATAGTTACTATGTGGTAGCCATTATGTTACATGCATTAGCATAATTTAACTGCACAATAGCCTTGTTAGGTAGATTTTAGTATGGTCTCCAATTTACAGATAGTCTTGTAAGTATAATAAAAAATTAGCTATTATTACTAATCAAATAAATTTTAAATGCTACATAAAATTTACATTTTATAATATAAAATTTAAATTATATAATATAATGTGTAATATATAATTGAATATATTTGAATATATTATATGAAATATGGTACATAATAAATATATGTTATAATGTATATAAAACAAAAGTTGCATACAACTATATATCTTTTTCACATATAATTCACTCTACTCTTTGAAATGGTACCTTATACTCTATTATCCTATTCTAGTAAAATTATATGCATATCTATATGTATGAACATATAAAATAAACATATTTATATACAATGTAGTTATACT